CACTTTAAATCCTGGATGGACTGGCATTGTGCCACAGTGGGTTAAGCTGCCACCAGTGACACCAGCATCCCAGCACCAACTAGTGTCCCAGCTACTCCACTTCTGATTCAGCTCCCTATTAGTGGGGAAACAAACAGGATACACCCAAGTTCTTATGTTCCTTCCATTCCTATCAGCTGTCAGCTTCAACCTTGCCAAGCCTGGCTGTTGTGGCCACGTGGGGAGTGAACCAGCAAATGAACCACGGACAAATGGAAAGAAGCTCTGTCTCTTTGTATATGTAACTGATTTTCAAATAAATAAGCCTTTAAAGAAAGTCCTAGAAAGTAAGAGGCTTCCCCTTTAAACAAACTGAGTTTTTGTTTTAACTGCTTTAGAAACTGATTTCTTGCTTGTTTGAAAAGACTCCTCCAGATACACAGCTCAACCTGTATCTGGGCCAAAACCGCCCAGGTCACTTTTGCACATTTTCAGAAGTGCAACTTCCAAGTTTGACCATGATCTTTTCTCATCATAAAACGTTATGTTCGGGCCCGGCACGGTGGCGCAAGTGGTTAAAGGTCCTCGCCTTGCACGCCCGGGATCCCATATGGGCGCCGGTTCTAATCCCGGCAGCCCCGCTTCCCTTCCAGCTCCCTGCCTGTGGCCTGGGAAAGCAGTCGAGGACAGCCCAAAGCTTTGGGAACCTGCACCCACGTGGGAGACCCGGAAGAGGCTCCTGGCTTAGGATCGGCATAGTATCGGCCGTTGTGCTCACTTGGGGAGTGAATCATGGGACGGAAGATCTTCCTCTCTGTATATCCGCCTTTCCAATGAAAAAATAATTAAAAAATAAATCTTTAAAAAAAACGTTATGTTACTCAAGCAACTAAGTGAGTAGAGCTTGCTACATTTTAATCTTTTTAATCTCCTAACAAAGCTAATGAGCACTAATGCCTAGACCCTAGAGGGAAGCTTAGAGTTGCTGTAAAAATACATTAAGTATTTCATAAATAAAATACACTTTTTTAAAAACGGACAAAATTTTCCACTTCTTCCCAAATTCCCTAGTGTCATCATCAAACATCCTATCTCTGTCCCATCGTTGGACATGGTGTGAACCAAGAATTCCCAATACAAGCAGCACAGCCCCGTAAGGAAACTGAAATATCTCAAGTTTGTTTTGTTCTATACTGACAGGGAGGAAGAGTACTGGGTGGAGAAGGGACTAGTGACCCTAGAAAACTTGAAACATGTAAGACAAGCCTGCCCAGGAAAAAGTCTGCATCCTGGAACACACTGACGTGGCCCTGGATTAAGGAGCAGGTAAAAAGTCTTCTTAGTACAGAACTTCCATTTTTGCACTCTGTTACCAAAAACTGAAAATTTCTACAACATCCTTGTAAACTGAGGGAAATTTTTTACTTTGTATTATTCAAAATTTTACCAGAAATTGCTCGCCCTTTGGGGAAAAGTCACATCAACGACAATGCCTTAAACCTTGCAAATTTTGCAAATTGACTATTTGGATCTTTATAACATGATCTGCAGACCATACAAAATTACCACCTTAAAATCAGCCTGTTGCACATTTATTGAAATGTGTTTAACCTTGTATCTATATTTTTTGGAAAGTCAGATTTACATAGAAGGAGAGTCAGATCTTCCATCTGCTGATTCACTCCCAACTGGCCACCACGGCCTGCATTTTAGCCACAAAGAACCTGAACCACTGCAGATGTCTATCTGAAATCTCGGATTTTTTTTTTAAACTACATTCTCGTTCAAGCCAAAATGCCTACAGGTGTGAAGTCATCAGCATGCGCCTATCTTCAAAACTTGACAGTGTTACCAATGAGAGATATTTACAATTTTCTATAAATTCCTTCTACTTAATTTTATCCAGCTACCTCAAACATGGAACAGCCTAACCTTATTTCCTTCCTTTTTCTTTTCTTTTTTTTTTTTTTTTAAGATTTCATTTTTATTGGAAAGTCAGATAGAGGGGAGGGGAGGAGAGATAGAGAGGAAGATTTTCCATCCGATGATTCACTCCCCAAACAGCCACAACAGCTGGAGCTGAGCCAATCTGAAGCCAGGAGCCTGGAGCTTCTTCTGGGTCTCCCATGTGGGTGCAATGTCCCAAGGCTTTGGGCCGTCCTCGACTGCTTTCCCAGGTCACAAGCAGAGAGCTGGATGGGAACTGGGACCGCCATGATTAGAACTGGCGCCCATACAGGATCCTAGCACTTGCAAAGCAAGGACTTTAGCCAGGCCCATAGCCTATCCTTACTTCTAAGGAATTACACTGCAATGAGTGTAGGACTGGAATCCTGTGTCTGCCACTGACTCAGGAACGCTCCTGGGCAAGATCTCTAGAACTTTCTGAACTTCCATGTCCCCATTTCTAAGGTGAAGGTTAAAAAGGACCTTCCTCAAGAGGGTTGTGGTGAGCCCGGCGTGGTGGCCTAGCGGCTAAAGTCCTCACCTTGAACACACCTGGATCCCATATGGGCACCAGTTCTAATCCCAGCAGCCCCGCTTCCCATCCAGCTCCCTGCTTGTGACCTGGGAAAGTAGTCAAGGACTGCCCAAAGCCTTGGGACCCTGTACCTACATGGGAGACCCGGAAAAGGTCCTGGCCCCTGGCTTCAGATTGGCTCAGCTCCAGCCGTTATGGCCGCTTGGGGAGTGAATCTTCGGACCCAAGGTCTTCCTCTCCATCTCTCCTCCTCAGTATATATATCTGACTTCCCAATAAAAATAAGTAAATTTTTATTAAAAAAAAAAAAAAGTGGTTGTGGTAACGAAAGACACAGCTCAAAACAATTCAAAGAATTTGCAACTTCAAACTTTTATCTGTTTTGCTCATTTACACATTCCCCGGCTGCTGGTAGTGCTCAAGAAATATTTGTTCTTGGCCAAGGCTGTGGTGCAGTGGGTTACGCCTGCAATGCCAGCATCCCACATGGCTGCCAGTCCATGTCCTGGTGGCTCCACTTCCAAGCTAGCTCCCTGCTTAAGTACCTGTGAAAGGAACTGAAGACAGTCCTACTTGGGCCCCTATGAGACAGGGGAAAAGCTCTTGGCCCACTCTCTGGCCTGTCTCAGCCCTGGCCACTGCAGCTATTTGCAGTGGGCAGAAAATGGATCTCTAACTCTGCCTTTCAAACAAAAAAGAAACACTTGAATCAAACTCCACTTGGTCTCTGAAATGTGCCCAGGCAAACCCACCTAGCTGTGTGCTGCCCAGAGAAGGTCCAGCTGTGACCGCTCAGTGCTCCCAGCATGAGTCCTTACTAGAAACAATCACGCTTTGCTGTAAAGACACTCAGAAAAACGCTGGAAGGTGACAGCACCACATAGAAGTTGTCACAAGACAATGGACAAACAGCCAACAGTGTGCACAAGCGCTGATTCCCAAGGCAGGACACACCACTGGGGGTGGACGGGCACACACCGCCAAGCAGAAAATTGATGGAAACACTCATTTTCCTAGCCTTTTTCTAATCCACGTTTGTTTACGTAAAGCCTGAGAGAACTTTTACAGATCTGTACTTGCTGCTCCTCTGCCTAACACACCCAGCCATCACGGACCCAGGATATCTGCTTTACCACACGTTTCCTATACTGCCCACCCCCTCACCTGTGACAACTCCATTCACTAACACGGCCCACGTGTGGCTCCTAAGCTCTTGTTTCACGTGCCTCGTCTGAATGTAGGTGTTTCACATTAGTTTTCAAATATGCAGTGAAAACAAGAAAAAAAAATGTAAAAGACATCTCAGTCACAATGTTAGTCATTATTTGTCGAAACACTATTGTGCATTATTGTGCATTATAATAACAGTTAAAATAAGATTCACATTTCACTTATTAAAAAAAAACAAACAGAGGGTGCCTGCGCATTAGCCTAGCAGCTAAAGTCCTGGCTACTCCGCTTCCCATCCAGCTCCCTGCTTGTGGCCTGAGAAAGAAGTCGAGGACGGCCCAAAGCTTTGAAACCCTGCACCCAGGTAGGAGACCTGGAAGAGGCTCTGGCTTCGGATTGGCTCAGCTCCGGCCGTTGCGGACACTTGGGGAGCGAAACAACAGATGGAAGATCTTCCTCTCATCTCTTTCCGTATATCTGCCTTTCCGATAAAAATCAGTAAAGATTAAAGGAAAAAAGAAAAAACCGAGAACATACGCAGAGGCCAACGCTGAAGGAGTCGGTTAAGCTTGGGGCCTTGCAAAGCTTGCGTGGACAGGCTGGAGTGGACAGCCAGCCAACCTGCTGCTAATACCATGCCTGGGATTGCAGCACGTGCCGGCCGCTCCTCGGGCCCTGGTGCTCCACGAGGCCCAGGTGCAGCTGCTGGAACAATCAACCTGCAGGTGGAAGACCTCTCTGCTTTTCTCTCAATCCTGCCTTTCAAACACTAGATCAACCTTAAAATATACGCACACGGGTCTAGTCAATGTTCTTTGGGGGTACTCCACCTGGGGGTACCACCAGCTCTCCATCTCAGCCTCATACACCAACAGACCCTACAGCTGTCCCATCCTCCCCTCGCACGCCCTTCAGACCCCAGAGTTTTCCACCTGCAGTTCCTGACCGGCACCGCATCCCCCTGCAGAAGGGACGCGGAGCAGACGCCGACGCGAGGCGGATCCGGCCCTCCGGCCCTCCGTCCTCCATCCTCCGCCCTCCGTCCTCCGCCCTCCATCCTCCGCCCTCCATCCTCCGCCCTCCGCCCTCCGCCCTCCATCCTCCGCCCTCCGCCCTCCGCCCTCCATCCTCCATCCTCCGCCCTCCACCCTCCATCCTCCATCCTCCATCCTCCATCCTCCATCCTCCATCCTCCGCCTCCCTGAGGGCGCAGCCCACCGCGCTCCGCCTCCCCGGCCCCGCACCCACGAGCCTCCCCGCCGGGAACCAAGGGCGGCGGGACGCGCAGGATGCGAAGGAGCTGAGGGGGTGGAGGAGACACAGACAGGGGCCCGAGAGGGCCGGGGGCTGCCGGCAGCACTCACCAGACCGTGGTCGATCTCGGCGTCCCGCCGTTGGGCCGAGGGCGGCAAGTACTCGGCGTAGCGCAGCCCGTCGCCGGCGGGGGCGACGCCAGCCCGGGCCGCCATGGCAATGCGGCCCCGGAAGACGCGCAGCGCAGCCACGAGCCGCGCCTACGAGGCGGCCGCAGGGACAAACTAGTGAGGGAGGGCGCGGGCTGCTCTGTAGTTTCAGGTGTGTTGTATCAGCTGTGCCGTTAATCCATGGATCCCGGCAAGGGCTTGTTCTCAGCCGGCCCTGGCGCAGTTTATCCCATCAGAGCTGAAAGTCTGTTTCCGACCTTGGGAAGGAGGCGCTGGGGCCGGTAGGGAATTTTTCCTTTGTCTGAGAATCGCACGCCTGAGGCGTCCCAGGACCACCCGGCTCGCTGCCCTAAGGATTCTGGTGCCTGGGCGGAGACCTGCCTGCGGGTTCCCCTCCCAGGCCCAGCACCTGATGGTACTTGTGTTTATTACCAGCTTGTCCCACCCAGGAGTAATTGTGGTTTGTTGTCTCCTCCATTCCCAAATGGAATTATAAAAAAAGAAATCTATGCCCCAGTAAATAAGCCTCATCTGCAAATAGTTTTCTTTATTTTGAATCTAGAAAGGTTGCTTTGTTTGTTTGTTTGTTTAATCTCGAACAAAAGGAGGATTCCTGCACCAGAGCAATAGATCAGTGATTAAAACCTCGCCTTGAATACTCCAGGATTCCACATGGGCACTGATTTGTATCCCGGCAGCCCCATTTCCCATCCAGCTCCCTGCCTGTGACCTGGGAAAGCAGTCGAGGATGGCCCAAAGCCTTGGGACATTGCACCCACATGGGAGACCCGGAAGAAGCTCCAGGCTCCTAGCTTCAGGTTGGCTCAGCTCCAGCTGCTGCAGCCACTTGGGAGTGAACCATCCGACGAAAGATCTTCCTCTCTGTCTCTCCTCTCTGTATATCTGCTTTTCCAGTAAAAAGAAATAAATGAATCTTTTAAAAAAAAAAAAAACTGCTCTTGCAATAACTTCAGAACATTCTTCCCTACATCAGTTTCTAAGATGACATCAAGTTGACATCCCTCCTCCCTGGGTACTGATGTAGTTTGACAGATGGGAGCACCCCCTCCCCTTCCAGCTGCAGGAGAAAAGGAAGCAAAAGGAAAATTGGAAGCATTTGTTCCACCCACCTTCCCCCATGCCTCAACCCTCCCCACCCTTATCAGTGGTCTCATGGGCGTGCATCCTTGTCAACTATGTCAACATAAAAAAAAAAAAGATAAGTTGAAATGGAGCATACAAGCCCATGAATCATTCATCTGCTTATTCTTTTATTTTTAAAATATTTATTGAACATCTATTAAGTGTCAGGCATCATGTGAGATATTGCTGCTATAGTCAAGCAAATAAAGAAGGTCTCGGATTCCTTGCAGGTTAATGATGTACCGGAGCAGCTGGGCCCTAGCAGTCCCAAGCTGCTAGCCTGGAGCAAATGAGCAATTAGAGCCAGGCAAGACCGGGGTGAGCCCCACTTCCTCTCCTGGCAGCTGCGCCCTCTGCCCAGGAACTGGAGGGAAAAGCCAGAAAGCAGGGAAGGCTAAGTGGAGGCGGGAGGGGAGATCTAGGGCAAGAGGAGGTGAGCTCAGCTGACTGCATTTCAGCTCGCTGCTTGGGACTGCACCAGCTCCTGTCCCGTCCCTGCTTCTGCTCTGTGTCCTCATCGAGGAGCCTGATTCTAGAAGGAATGCCATCCGAAAACACTGCTTAGCTCTCGGCCCTGGGATATTTCGTCCACTTCCTCTTGCCAACAAAGGAGGGATGGAAGCAAGAAAACAGAGTCTTTTTCTCTCCCCATTAACAATTTTTTCCTGACTTAGCTGTACTTTTCTGGCATTCTGTGAGAACAGAGAATGCTTTTGTGTGAGCTTCAAAATTAATTATGCCATTTCAAAGATAAGCTACATTCTGCATATATACAAGAAAGACACATGGGTGGTACAACTTACATTTTAGTAAGAGTGTCTTAGGGGTAGACTTCTGGCCCAGCAGGTGGGCTACCCAGCCTACATCAGAATACGTGGGGTCAATTCCCAGCCGGGGTCCTTGATTTCAGCTTCCTGTATGGCAAACCAAGGGAGACAGAAAAGATACCTCAAGTAGTTGAGTTCTTACCACCCACATGGGAAACCAGGATTGAGTTCCCACTCCCAGCTTCACCCCTGCCCGTTAAGGAGCACTTAAATTTCGTATAAAGGAGTTTAGCAAAAAGAAGGAATTACCTCTTTGTGCCTTCATTGCCTCATAAATAAAACAATAACAGCACCTTCATGTGAGGATTAAACTAGTTAACTTTTTTACAAAGCTCATTAAACAGTACTTGATACTAAGAAAAAATTTTTTTAAAGATTTATTTTTATTATTTTTTTATTGGAAAGGCAGATCTTCCCTCCGATGATTCACTCCCCAAGTGAGCGCAACGGCCCATGATATGCCTATCCGAAGCCAGGAGCCTCTTCCGGGTCTCCCATGCGGGTGCAGGGTCCCAAAGCTTTGGGCCGTCCTCGACTGCTTTCCCAGGCCACAGGCAAGGAGCTGGAAGGGAAGCGGGGCTGCTGGGATTAGAACCGGCGCCCATATGGGATCCCGTGCGTGCAAGGCGAGGACTTAACCACTTGCGCCACCGCGCCGGGCCCAAGAAAAATTTTTTAAAGAAACTTTAGTTATTGAGTCCGGCGTGATAGCCTAGTGGCTAAAGTCCTTGCCTTGCATCCTCTGGGATCCCAAGTGGTTGCTGGTTCCAACCCCCACGTTGGAGACCTGGAAGAAGCTCCTGGCTTCACATCGGCTCAGCCCCAGCCATTGCAGCCATGAGATCTTTCCTCTCTGTCTCTCCTCCTCTCTGTATATCGAACTTTCCAATAAAAACCTTTAAATAAAATAAATCTAAAAGAAACATTTAAAAAACCAAAACAGTAACTAAAGTTTTCTTTTTCTTTAAGATTTATTTATTTATTTATTCTTTAAGAATCCAATGATTCACTTCCCAAGTGGCTACAATGGCAGGTTCTGAACTGATCTGAAGCCAGGAGCCTCTTCCTGGTCTCCCACACAGGTGCAGGGTCCCATGCGGCTTTGGGCTGTCCTTGACTGCCTTCCAGACCACAAGCAGGGAGCTGGATGGGAATTATGCAGCAATTAGGACCGGCACCCATGTAGGATCCCAGCATGTGCAAGGCGAGGACTTTAGCCACTAGGCTGCCACATTAGGCTCTCCTGTTTTATTTAAAAAAAATTTTTTTTTCCCTGGGTGCAGCTCCTGGCTTTGGATCTGCTCAGCTCTGGTCTAGCAACCACTTGGAGAATAAATCAGGAGACAAAGATGTTCCTCTCTGTCTTCCTCTAGGTATATCTGACTTTCAAATAAAAATAAATAAATCCTAAAATATATATATGTATTTTGTTTCCCTTTGTTTTTACACAAACCCGTGTTAGAAGTATGGAGGATGGAAGAAACCTAAGGTAGGAAGGAATAGTCGGAGCCACATGCAAAGGCAGACACCTTGGATACTGCAGGCAAACAGAACCACCAAGATGGACATGCTGGAAGACTGTATTGTCTCTTAAAGTTTCAAAGGGACAGAGGAGCAGTAGAAAGAAGTCTGAAAAAAGCTATGTGGGAAAGGTAGCAGCAAACCAAGAGAGAAAGTTGAAAACCAGTGACAGCATTCGTTGATCACTCATATTTGTTCCTCTAACTCAGCAGTTTAGTCTCGCGAAGTCTCATGTTAATGATACTAAGTGGATGGAAACTGAATCCCGTTATGGTGTTAGCAGTGTGAAGGTCATTCCAGTGGCACAGCCACAATGGAGTCCTGGTGGCTTGGGACGGACAATGAGAAATGTATCCGGCCTTGCCATGTGCGATTCTGGGCCGTATCAGGCCTCGCCCGCAGGAATTCCATCGCCAGAGGCTGGATCTGCAGCTCCTGCCACATCTTGGACTGTGTGCCTCCCAAACTGTGAATCAAAATGAGCCTTTTCTTTATAAAACAATCTGCCTTCAGTATTTTCTTCAGTGTAATGAAGATGCCAAATAATGTAACTGATTGTGTGTGATGTCTCAAAAATATAATTTCAAGTATGCATCACTAAGATGATTACAATTGGTTTTTCAACTGACCCCTTGGTTACTCCCACGTTCTGGTTGGAAAAGAAGCTGTACCGCAGGATGAGGTACTATAGGCACAGGGAGGACTCTGTGATCGGGGAGGAGAGAGAAGCTAGAGCTCTAGCTCGCAGTGGAAGGATGAATGCATATTTGTTTGAACTCATGAGAATGACACAACTTTCAGGGAAGCAATTTATGAGAAAGCACTGTATGGGAACGATACTAAAAGACATTCTGGGGCCCAGCACGGTAGCCTAGCGGTTAAAGTCCTCACTTTGCACATGCCGAGATCCCATATGGGTGCCAGTTCATGCCCAGAGTCGCTGCATCCTATCCAGCTCCCTGCTTGTGGCCTGGGAAAGCAGTTGAGGAGAGGCCAAAACCTTGGGAACTGCACTTCTCCGGGAGACCCGGAAGGGGCTCCTGGCTTCGGATCAGCTCAACTATGGCTTTTGCAGCCACGTGGGGAGTAAATCATCAGATGGAAGATCTTCCTCTCTCTCTTCTTCTCTGTATATTTGCTTTTCCAATAAAAATAAATAAATCTTTTAAAAAAAACATTCAGTTGCTCACAAGTTTAAGCTCTGAAGAAGAGAATGAAGATGGGTGAATAAGAAACAAATAAAGGTCATATAGTGGTTAGATATTGAGCTACCTATATAACAAAAAGACATTTAGAATTTGTCTTACAGGTGAAGGTGGGCATTAAAAAAACACTGACTCCACTAGTAACATGGTCAGATATACATGCCAGTAAGATGATTCTGGTTGCACTGGAAGAATCAACCAAAACCAGAGAACAGAGGTCAGCAATGCAATTGTTGTAACAGTTTGAATAACAGATGTGGAGACCTGCACTAGGGCAGGGCAGCAGGCTATGACATCATCGGCTCCTTAGGGCAGCAGGCTATGACGTCATCGATTTCTTCCTTACAGACTTGTCCGGTCCCTCAAACTAACTCTACGCTT